CATATTATATACAATATCAAATAAAAGAAATGATGCTTACCTATGAGGGGAAACCCAAAAAAAAAAAAAAACAAAAAAACAAAATTGACTTGAGCTTGTTTGATTTTGTTTTAATCTTTAAGTGAAATCTAATTGGATAATTGAAGGGCACTAATTATCTGAAAAAATAAACTGATTTCAGTTTTTTGAATAAAAAATTTTTGGAGGTTGAAGGTAACACAGCAAATATTGCTATAAAAATATTATATGAGAATTGACTTAAAATAAACAGTAGATCCACCAATTCTATTTAAGTATATGTTTTGAAAAATATTTGGTTTAGTGAGTATTGTGATAATAATATAGGTAATTTTTATAATAGAATAAGGGTAAGAAGGGATGCAAGAGAACTAAAGAAAAGAGAACTGCTACAGATCTTTTCTCATATAACCAAAGAATAAGCAAGACTTTCAAACTTGAGTAGACTTTAACCAGAAGTTCCATTTCACTGCACTAGTTGTCTTGAAGGTTCTTGAGTTTTTGAATTGGGGTCACTTGTGATAAAAAGAGTAAACTATTTTTTCTTGCTTAAAATTATTATAAAAAAAATTTTTTTAACAAAATAGATATGATTAGGAAAAGTTTTTGTTTAATAAAATTATATACACTAAAATTTTTTAATAAATATATTAATTTTACTATTAAAAAAAACAACTCTTTTTTATATACAATCTTAAAAATTTTTTCTTATAGTAATATTTCTCCAAAATTAAAGAAACAAATAATTTTTTCATCTTTCAATATCTAAAAGTTCTTCACACTTTTTCTTTTTTCATTAAAAAAGCCTCAAGAAAACCAAAGAAATATACTGATACATCAAGATTAAATCTTTGATTAGAAAAAAACAAGTTTAAAACCTTGTATTTTCTTTAGATTGCATGAAAAAAAGCTCATAGCAGTTACTTCTTTATAAATCTTTTTTGAAGTTTTTTCTATTTTCTTTCTTTCAATATATAAATCTTTTTAAATAATTATATTTTTTGCTTGGATGACTTCTTTTTATCTCAAAAAACCAAACTTTACATCAAAATTGTTTATATTGTTGACTTGAAACATTAACAATATATTTAATGTCCACTTTTTATTATCATTTAATATGCTTTACTATGTCATCAAAAATCAAAAAATTCTATTTAAAAAAATTATTATCAAAATTCTGTAATCAGTTTATTCCTGTTAATTAATCAATATTCTAAACTTAATCAATTAAACACTATTAATTTTTTAAACAAATTTATATAACCAAAACATTATGTTTTGATTGATGTAAACAAAACCTTTTATGGTGTTATAAGTGTTAATAGTACTATTTTTAGATTATAATTTTATAGTATTATATTACTTTATTATTTCTATTATTAGTTATCTAGCATATATAGTATAGCAAGTAAATATGACATTTCTGCTGAATATGACTGATTAACCTGATCGACCTGACTGACCTGATCAATCTGATCAGACAGAATAGTCTGAATGACCTGAGCGACATAATCAAGAATATCAGACATATTTGACTGAACTGACATATCTCATCACTTATTTATATTTTAGTTTTATATGTTTTAAACATGTATAAATAGAATAGCTGTTCTTCTTAACTGTCCAAGGAATTTTCTAACTTTTCCCAACTCTCTCTAATAAAACCTATCTTGAACCTATAACCAAATTACCGTGCCTCTTGCCTTAAAAATAAATTTTGTTAAATTTCTTTACTTTATCAACACTAGTATATCACAACTGAGGCTATTTTCCTCTAAATTAAATAGTTCCTTGCTACTGTTATTTGTTGATTTATTTAATTTTAAGGTTTATTAAATAGGTTAACAATAACAACAACAATCAAAACAAAATCATATTATCAATAAACAAATCAATTACAAACCATATTACTATAATAACAATAATATTATCATTAAAGATAGGTTCCTAAATTAAAGGCAAGGACATAATTCAAATATTCCTTACTATTAAAAAAGTTTTTTAAAAAATATAAGGTCAAAAAAAAACTACCTACAAAGGGTTTTTGCAATTTAGACCACTTAATTCAAGTGTTTTTTTAATTATGTTCCTATTAAAGTAATGAATAAATAATTATGTCCCTTCAAAAGAAACATAATTAATCTGCAAAATTTTATATACTAAATAGTTTAGGGACCTATCCTTAATTATCCTATTGACTTCTCTAATTACCAGCATAATACTTGCATAACACCTGCATGCTAACCTAGCTTATTGTTAGCTGCATTGGCATTGGCTGCCATTTCACTCTGGATACTATGGAGCATAATTTCTTAAATATTTTCAGATAATAATAGTTGTATACCAGTTTCTTAGATATATTTAATCTAACTATCAATACCGGATTTGGTAATAATAACCATGTCAATCTTTTGGAGAGAGTAAACCATCCGTCCTTTTTTTGTAAGGCCATGGAAGAGAGAAAAATTCTAAAGTACATATCATGAAAAAAAACCCACATTTCTAAATATGATCTTAAGAAAAGGGAGCCGACTGGCCAGAGAAGTAATGTTATGAAGAGTAGAGTTTATAAAGAAGAAAAAAATCTAAAAAGAAAACCTTTAGAAAGAAGAGAAAACCTAACTTTGGCAGGAAAAGGGAAAAGGGAAAAGAGAAGAGAAAGAGGTGAAGGTAGAGTAAATAAAAGAATATATAAAAGAGAGAGGAGAGAATAGAAGAGAAGGAATAAAGAGATATGAAAGATTTGAAGTAAAGAAAGAAAAGGAAAGAGAATGTGAAAAAAGTAAAAAACTCAAAAGTTTTTTAAAAAGAAAATTTTCAAGCATAGAAGAGGAAATAGAAAAGAGTTTTTTTTTAATATAAATTAATAATATAATCATATACAATATAATAATTATACATCTGGCAAAATATATTGTTTTAAACTTTCTTTTCAATATTAGTCGTATGGTTACTGTAGGCAAGCTAGCATTTAACTTATTGTACTAACATATGAGAGATGTTGTTTCTTTCACGATGTATACCTTGCTATATACAAATCAAATAAAGAAATGATGTTTACCTACAAAAAAAAAAAAAAAAAAAACAATATAATAATTATAATTAAATATTAAAAATCTATTACTTAATAACTTTTTTTTATAATATTAGAAAATTCTAAAAAATAAAAATTTTATTATTATTTTAAACTATTTAATTTATAAAACTTTATTTTTTTTATAAAGCCTATACCAATAATTACTTAAGTAAGTTATTTATTATTTTATATCTTTTTGTTTATATAATACATGCAGTAATGAAATCTTTGATACAAGTATATGTTTTCTAGTAAATATTTTAGTTTTAACTATTGATTAGTACTAACTATCAAATTTAAAAAACTTTTAATCAAATAAAATATAACTTTTAAAGTCTAATATAATAATAGTTGTTTAAGCTATTAATTAGATTGATATATTTTAAACTTCTAGTAAATACTTTAAATTCAGATTAGTTAACATAAGTTATCAAATTTAAAAGTATAAATATTAAATAAGATATAACTTCTATTTATTTTATTTTATTATATAATAACCAATCTTTATATAAATAGATTAGTTTAATATTTTTCTTCAAGTCTTTTTACTTTAGTAATTAACAGTTAAAAAAAATAATAATCAAAATTGGTTAAAATAAAATATAGTCCAATCTATATATTCAAATATAATATAGATCTTATTATATTATAATTTATAAAGTTTAGTTAAAATTAGATCAAAAGTTTTTTTTTATATAATTTTTTTTTTTTTGTAATCTGTTATATCTTTATAATTATTAAAAAGATTTAAAGTCTTATTTTCATATAATTTAATTAAAAATAATATATAATAACTTTTTATAATTATGTGAATTTAAATTCTAGACTTTTATTTGATTATTTATAAAGTTATATTATTAAATCATAGACTCATAGATCTATTATTATTTATATGATTCCAAAAATTGAAATTAAACAAACTTATATAAACTCATATAAAATTTAAAATATTATTAAAAATAATAATTCACATTTTAAATTTAATATTGTTTAAATATGAAAATTGAGAATCAAATTGAATTAAATAATTAGGATTCTTAATTATTTATTATAATATATAAGATGATTAATTAATTATTTTTATTACAAATAGGCAGTATATAAGATATTTATTTATAAAAACAAATTCATTTTTATTTATTATAATCATTTTTATAATTATTATTTGAATTTTATAAAATTTATTTTATTCTTTTTTTTTTTTTATATTAATAATATTAATTTATATACTGTATATCATTATAATATTTATTTATTAGAATCTGTTTCTTAATTTGTTTTTATTATAAGTATTTTAATAATTCTAAATAAATACGATTTTTTTTTTGTTATAAAAGTAATAAATATTTTTCTTAAAATTCTTGTAGAATAGTAATAATTTAATTTTTCAAATTCTTTAAATAATTTTTTTTATATTCTTTAGTCATTTTTATTTTCTTGAGTTTTTTCAAATTGTGATTTTGATTATTTTATTTAAAAATTCATTGTATAATATGCGGTATGCGACATAATGTTTTATTTTTATTTTTCAAATATTTATTATTTATTATGTTTCATTTCAATTTGACCGTAATTTAATTAATATTTTCCCATATTAACGATAAAAAGTCCCAGTTAAAGGATTACCAGATTTGGTCACGTGACATCTGGAAATCATCGAAATCATTGACCCAAAAAAATTTTCTATAGTTCCCCGTTTCTTGTTACCGAGCCGTAGCGCGCGAACGTCATTACAACGGTTAGTGTTTATGGTCGTGTTTTACGAAAGAGTGGCGCCCAAAATCGCATATTATTGTCACTCAATTTGTCACCCCGAAATATGGTATTATTATTTTCAACGACTAATGCTTAAATTTTGTGGCGTCTCTGTTGTTTAATAGAAACTAAAGCACATAGCATATATACTATGAATCCAGAAAAGCTAGCAAAACTCCAATCTCAAGTTCGTATTGGTAAGAATATTTGTCTGAAGGCATAGATATCTGTGTGGTCGTTACTCTTTTTGCCTTTTCTAATAAGATATCATTCATGTATGGAACGCATTTCAACAAACTTTCTGGTTTCTAAATTAATAAATTTACAGGCGGTAAAGGAACTCCTCGCCGTAAGGTCAAAAAGGTTTACAAGACTGCTAATGATGATAAAAAGCTTCAGTCCACGCTTAAAAAACTCAGTGTTCAAAATATTCCTAATATCGAAGAAGTGAATATGTTTAGGGAAGATGGCAGTGTTATTCATTTCACCACACCCAGAGGCAAGTAGACGATCTTAACAAATTATAGTTGATGCGTTAACAATACGTGATGATTATTGATTTACCATTATATCTCCCCTTACAGTGCAAGCATCTGTTCATGCAAACACCTTTGCCATCTACGGTACAGGCGAAGAGAAAGAACTCACTGAACTTGTACCGGGTATTTTAAATCAATTGGGTCCAGACTCGCTTGCATCCCTTCGTAAGCTGGCGGAATCTTATCAGCAATTTAGTGCTGGATCTCAAGGGGTATCAACTGAGACAGGAGAGGACGATGATATTCCAGAACTGGTCGAGAATTTTGAGGCCACAAGCGAAAAGAAGGATGAGGAAGAGGCCACAGCATCTTCGTCAGAAGCAAAAATTACGGATATGGTTGACTAAGATACACACAATCGAATTGGAACAGATTAATTTCGATGCGAATGGGATTGAAATATTCTTATTTTTAGGAAGACACAAGAAACTTTGGAAAAAAATTTTTCACTGTTAAATATTTTAAAATATTGTATTTAAAATGAATTAAACCAATATAAGGTTTCAGGAATCATACACAGTAGTGACAATTAATGCAACAAAAAAAAAAATGAAAATAAAAATAAAATCCAACATCGAAATATTTGCGCAAATTCGGTGATATCTTTTTTTCCGATGGTTTTATTCGTTTGTAATTTGTTTTGGGGGGTTAAAGTTAACGTGGGTTTGTCAATTCAACTCGCTTTGTCATTTGGTTCTTTATTTTTTCCAACACATGGGATTCATTTGACCTTTTTTGCCTACACCAGATATGATTTCATCTCGTGTAGCCTTAATGACATCATGAACCCTTTTCGTCATGAAAAGTCATGTAAAACTATATTAAAATCAATATTTTTATGCATATACTGTATATAATTGTTTTTTTTTTATAATTCATATAATGTTTAAATAAATTTTTACAAAAAAAAAAAAACAAAAAACAAAAAGTTAAATCAATACCATCAACATACATGCCTCATACATAATATTTAAAAGGCAATTAATTCTTTCATAAAATAATATTTGATTCAGGGATTATTGTCATTTTTTTCTTTTAGGATATTTTTTTATTTACAAGATGCAAAACAAATCATTTCTTATGTTGCAATAGGTATTATCATCGTATGTCACCTGTACAGTATTTTTATTGATTGATTGATTAATAAAATAAATAAATAAATAAATAAAATTATTTTAATAAAAAGATATTTTTTAATGAAATGATGGATGGTGTATTATATTATAAATTAAAAAAATTATTATTATTATTTTAAAAAAAGAATTATATTGTCAATTCATGACTATCATTATGCTAATCTTGTTATACAGTATTAGGATATTTATGATCTGTAAAAATTGATTGGTTTTAAAAAATCTTCATATTACTAGAAATTTTATAGTTGAATAAGAATCAGATTTTGAATCTGGCATTACCATATTTTTTTTCTGAATAAATTCAGTTGTGATGAATGAATTGAATGATGAAATAGGATTCAAATGGTTTTTATAAAAAAAAAAATATTTTTTTTTTGCAAAATTTAATTTATTTACTAAAAATATATACTATATGTTATGTGAAATTTATTATTTAATTTTTATTTTTAGTTAATATTTTTTTTTACGCATTCAAACTATATCAGGGTTGGTTACGTAATGCAATTCTCGGTTAGGCTATTACAACAATTAACCATTATAAATTAACGCATATAAAACTATGGGGAGGGATCCGCAAATACCAAACAACAATGATAATATGCCAAGGAAATATCATCATGAATTGACATCAAATTGGAGTTTTATAGTGTAAAAAATACAATGAAAAGGTCACAAGGTTAAATTTGAAAAACGATGCAAATCTTTTAACTCGTTGTTTTCAGGTTTCATCTTTATATTTGCACGATAGAGAGCGATGGAGGCTTACTATGTTGTCGCAGGACCAAGGAAATTTGAAAATATAAGCATCTAATTTTCGGAATTGGCTAAAATGGACACTGCATAAGCGAGAATGATATTGCATGTTTTTATGCAACTTCACGTTGTGTGATGCGAATTGCATACACCTCTGAATTTAACAAACCAATTTATAACTTATTATGTATACACTGATTTTTGAATATACACATTGTATGCGCCTTGATGCTTTTTTTGGAACACACCAGAGATCGATAAACGCTTTCGAAATTTTATTATGTTTTGTGCATATCAATGCATTATCAAAATTTTGTAAGAAAGTAGATATGTAAATTATTTCACAATATAAATATATCTATATATTTTTTACTTGAAGGGATTGCAAAGTTGATAAGAACTTAGAAAGCGGTGATGCCATTATTGAAATTTTTGATTAGATCACCATTGCTAGCAGCACGGGATCTGATAGGTGCACCATGACCAGATACAAATCTCAATTGGGCATCATTCCAAATTGGTTTTGGCAGAGGGTCGGAAGTTCCAACACCGGCTCTACCGCCCTTTTTCTTCCAATCGCTAACCCTTTTGAGGCCGTTATTTCTCCAAACAGTTTCCAAGGCATCTACAAGGTGATCAATCATTTGCTCATTGTGTCCAGGTGTAGGAGTGATTCTCAATCTTTCCTCGCCTTTAGCAACTGTTGGATAGTTGATGGACTGCACATAAATACCATGTTCACGTAACAATTGGTCTGAAGCAATTTTACAAGCTTCGGCTTCACCAACAAGTACGGGAACAATATGAGATGGATTTGGTACAACAGGAATATCAAGTTTTCCCAAGCGATCCTTGAGCGACCTGGTGTTGAGTTGTTGCATTTGACGTTCTCTGGTGGACTCTTTTAAATACTGGATGGAGGCTTTTGCACCGGCAGCCACCGTTGGCGGAAGAGAAGTGGTGAAAATAAAGCCGGGAGCATAAGATCGAATCATATCAATCAGGGCAGCAGAACCGGCGATGTAACCTCCAACAACACCAAATGCCTTACCCAGTGTACCAGAGATGATATCAATTTTGTCCAAAATGCCTCCATTGTTTCCATGAGGGTAACGAGCATTTAAATCAAAATCTAAATGTTCCGATACACCAGCGCCACGTGGACCATACATACCAACGGCGTGTACTTCATCCAAGAAAGTGATGGCACCGTATTTCTTGGCGAGTTCACAAATTTTTTCAATGTGACCTACCGAACCAGACATAGAATAGACGCTCTCAAATGCAATTATCTTTGGAATGTTTACGTCTACGGATTGAAGTTTTTCCTCCAGATCCGCCAAATCATTATGTTTGAAAATCATCTTTTTTGCACCTGAATGCTTAATCCCCTGAATCATTGAGGCGTGATTAGAAGCATCAGAAAAGATAACACAGCCAGGTAGTTTTGAAGCTAAAGTACTTAATGTCGCGTCGTTGGCCACATAACAAGAAGAAAAGATCAGGGCTGCAGGTTTATGATGGAGATCAGCCAATTCCATTTCCAGTTGCAAATGCAAATCACAATTACCCGCAATGTTACGGGTACCACCAGCACCAGCACCGTATTTGTGCAAGGTTCGACTATCATACGATAAATTTTGTTAATGAATTGAATAAAATGAACAAAATCATTTAAATTGTTGCTTACATAATAGCCTCTGACACTACGGAGTTTCTGCCCATACCGAGATAATCATTACTGCACCAAACAACGACTTCATCTTGTAAGTTGACAGTATGAGCTTTAGGAAACTTTTGGGCCAGACGATTGATGTTGTTGAAATAACGATAACTCTTATCCTGATGTTTCTTTTCAAGCTCCGAGTTATAAAGAGCTTCGTAGTCGAAGTGTTTGGCTTTGGTAGAATGTGTGGCTGGGTGATAAGAATGAGTTGTAGAAGCACTACCGTGAGGCGAAGTGCGAAGGGAAGGTTCCTGCACAACTGAAGCTTGATTCAACGGAAGGGTAGGTTGTTTGGTCAACCTAGCAGAAGTATGTAAATAGCTTTTGCTTCGTAAGGCCATAGCCTTACCCATTACGGGGCATTTTTGGGCCATGAAGACCAAAGCATTACCACGCACATTACCAGCACTGGCCTCGACGTAACTGGCGGCATGAGCGGGTAGATGAGCAAGATTACGAAGAGAGGCAGCAGAGTTTTTATGAAGGAAGGGACACGCCCTACTAAATTGTTTGATTGCAGCTTCCATCAGTATTTTTTTTTAACAAAAAATTTTTGAGGGACAATATATTTTACAAAAAATTCGCCTCAATCAATATCGATATATAGTGTTTTTTTAGGTAGGACAAAATCTAAATCTTGAAATTGCAACATTGGGGCAGTGTGAGGCTGATTAAACAGAGAGGGTTTCATCAAAATGTTTCTACGTATCAGTTTGCACATAGAATGAAAGGTAATGAAAATTGGTTTGATCAACTGATTTTTCATTGGTTTCCGAAAGACAATATGTATATATGGACCACGTTGCAAAGCGAACTATGCATGAAAAGACAAATTTCATAGTTGATCGCTCAATATGTAAATTTCGTAATATAGGAATGTAGGACAAAATCATGTATGGTATAATCCGTTTTGGAGATATGCACGTGATCTTATCTCGGTCAAGCTTGATTTTAGTAAAGTTTGTATAAACGACCAATTGCTATCGTTTTTAGAGATGCATAAAATAATGATTTTTTCCGTTGAATAAATGTCTATTTCCGTTAATTCAACGTCCGGGTTTATTTCAAGCCGATTGAATCTAGAGTTGATTTTTTAAAAAAACATCATCTATATCAGAATTGATATTTTAAGATAAATCTACAATTATATACAGTGTATGCATGTGATCTTTCATTTATAATGATTAAATCAAAAAAATCAAAAAAATCAAAAAATCTTATTGTTCAATTAAAAATTCTTTGCTTACGTCATACACATACAATTAGAAAAGTGGTGGGCCATCATCAAACTTTCATTGCTGATAACTCGAAAAAAAGTACAGACTATAATTAGAATGGTCTCTGACTTCTACATTATACAATAAGATTTTAAATTTATCATTTTATCAATGATTTATAAAAATACTTTATTCAATTTAGATAATATTAGATACACATAATATAAATCCTATTTTTAAATTAATCATTTGAAACTAAAAAAATCTTGAAGAACAATTTGTATTTCTAGTTATGATATGATTATTTATAAATCATTAAGCACTTAGCAGCATATAATAATTTAACAATCGAATTTTTTTTCTTTTAAAAAAACAAACAAAAGACTATTGATTGATTAATTGGTTATTTTGAATATATTGTATTTCAATTTAAAAAATATTTAATGCATTTAATGCATGAATAACAAGGATTTTATTGTATGTGTTGGTTAGATTCTTGAATAGTAGGTTATTTGGATGGAACAATATATTAGCTAAATCGTATGATCAAGCTTAATTAATAAGTTGTTTGGCCTAAACTAAAAAATAAAATAAATTTATGTACAGTATTTATTAATTAAATCGTATGATCAAGCTTAATTAAATTATATAATCAATGATAAAATGAAAATTCTAATAATATGCTTGTGCTCTTTTTTAAAATTTTTTTCTCGAATTCGACTGATCGTACTTTTTTTAAACAATTTATTCTGTTTATCAAGATGTCTTACATACGCCATAATAATTTTTTTATCGCAAAGAACAATAAGATCAAGAAATTTTTAAGATTTCATCTATAATTACGTATTTGATAAATCTCACTTATTAAAATAGCATTATATGTTAACCCTGGAGTCAGCATAAAAAGTTCAACCACCGTCAACAAATTCCCCTCATTTCCCGTGATTCGAGAGAATCGAATTAATCAATTGTCGATTTTTCTTTAAGTTTCCAGCCCGAATTATATGACATAGCGTGGACTCCTGTGTTAAAAAGGGAATTCATGTACCGTTCGCCTCACGAATCATTAGTTTTTCTGAGAAAACTTAGAAAAGTAATCAATTACGAAGGGAGCTAATCGAATAGAATAACTATCGTCAGAGTCTTAAACTATGGTGTAATGTTTTGCATACAAAATAAATTTCTTACCAATACGAATAGCCGTGATATACAAAAAAAACGAGGTAAAGCTTTTGGTGGTATTCTTACGTTGTGCCTCTTTTTCTTGTGGTGTCGGTTTGGGGGGTTGCATAAACATTTTTGTAGATGAGAGGTCAATAGAGCAATAGAGCAAAACAATGTTTGATCTGATCTACGTAATCAAACTACCGAGTTTTCAAATTTTTGAAAATCGCATCTAACTAAAATTTTTTTTTTATGTACCGTAACCGTAAGTAATTGACTTTAATATACGGTGTATTGCAAAAATTTTATTTATTGATTATCATTATATCCGAATTTATCAAATTGAAACTTGTAATTTAAAACTTATATAAATATATTATTTTTTGATCTCTTATAATTTTATAAAAGAAAACTACAATTAATAAATATAGAAATTTATAACTTTACAAGTATAAACACAATAAACTTTTAAAAGTATAATAATAAATATAAAATTATATATATATTCAAAATAAAATAAAATAATTTCAAAAAGATTTTTATTACATTAAAAAAATAAATTAATTAATTAATTTAATTTTTTAAAAAATTGTTTTTTTATTTAATAATAAATTAAATTAAATATTTTCATTATTATTGAAATAATTTATTAAAATAATAATTTATTACTTAAATTTATTATAATTTATAAAATATTTTATTATTGCTAACATTAATTTATTATTTTATAATAAGTTTAAAAATTTTTTTTTGTTTTTAATAAATTATTATTTGAAAATATTTATCAATTTTTAATTTAAATATAATAATAATATCTTATACTGTATATAATTAATTATTTTATTAAATTATTATTATATAATATTAACTATTTAAAATTTTTTAATTTTCTAAAGATAATTATAAAAATAAAATAAAATAATTTTTTAAAAAAATATATAAAAGTATTTTATACTTTATATAATATTTATTTTATTTTATTATTATTTTTTATATACAAATTAATAAATATATTAGTATATAGTTTAACTAAATATATAAATATATATTTATATATAATTTAAATAATTAAATTAATTCTAATTTATTAAAAAAAAATTTATATTAATGCTTATAATTAAATAAATTGTTTAATTTCATTTTTATTATTTTATTATTTATCTAAATAATTTTAAAACTACTTTAAATAAATAAATATTTCAATATTTTGTTTATTGTTATAATTAATAATATTATTTATTTAGATATTATATAAAATAAAATATATAAGAATTATAATGTTGTTTATATTTTTTATTATATAATATATTAAATAATTAATTTAAATTTTAATTAATTAAAAAAACTCTCTCCTGATCCTATCTGTTTTGTTAAAAATTTTTCTTTTATGATAATTTTAAGCAAGAAAAAATGATTTACACTTTTTATCACAAGTGAGCCCCAACTTAGAAACTCAAGAACCTTTAAGACAACTGATGCAGTAGAATGGAACCTCTGGTCAAAGTTTATTCAAGTTTGAGAGTCTTGTTTATCCTTTGGTTACATGAGGAAGAACCCATGATAGTTCTCTATTCTTTTGTTCTCTTGCATCCCTCCTTACCCTTATTTTATCATAAAAACTAACCATATCACTACTATTATACTCACTATAACAAATATTTTCCAAAATACATATTCCAACAAAGTTAGTGAGTTTATTGTTTGTTTCAAGTCAACTTACAAATTTTACTTTACCATAGTAATATTTACTATACCATCCCAAATTCCTCAATATTTTTTCCTAACCAAAAAACCAAAATTAGTTTACTTCTACAAATGATTAATACTTTCCAATTATCCAATCAGATTTTGTTCAAAAATCAAAACAAAAATTGAATTTGTTTAAAATAGTTTTGTATCATAATAACAATTGCAACAATAATTACAACAACGACGTTAGTCACATGCTTACTAATAACTATAATAACAAATAACTTCATATATACTTCATTATCTATAGTAATCAAAAAGCTGAAGAGATGGGACCATGAGTCTGTTTGGAGGCTTTCTTGAAGAAATAATTGGATTTTTACTTATAGATTTTATAGTTTATTTGATACAGTTTTAATTACAATTATATTTATTTTCTCTTTAACTATTATACTATATATCCAAAAAATCAAAAGAATTCACAAAATTTCCTAAGTTGATAGGCATAGCTGCTACTCAGCTTTATCTAGACTATAATATTGCTTTTGAATTGTTTTACAATATTAGTTAGGTAATGACTAAGTAAGCAAACTAGTATTAAACTTTTCTGAAATAATAAAAGAGATGTTGTTTCTTTCACAATGTATACTTTATTATATACAATATCAAATAAAGAAATGATGTTTACATACAGGGGAAACCCCCCCAAAAAATAAATAAATTTTAATTAATTATTATTTAAAAATTTAAAATTAAATTGAAAAATACAAAATTTTTCAAAAAAATAAAAAAAAGTTTACATATTTGAGAAGTTAAAAAGAAATTTGAAAAAAAAATAAAAGTTATTAAATAATAAAATTATTAAGAAAACTATATAGATTTTATTATATAAAACTTTTTTGAAACTTTGTTTTTGAATTAACAAAAGAATTAATAAAAAGGGTTTTCTTTTTTATAATGAAGCAGAAATAGAAAGTCCTAGATATCACGTGAATCTCATGCAATATAAAGAACGCGTGCCCGCGCGACTTGATTGATTGAATAATGTCACGAGCATTTGCCTGGCGCGGTTCCGGATTAAGGGGCGAAAATTTAGCCTTTAACAAAGAATTCTTTGAGGATGAAGACTTTGATACCGAAGACTTGATAGTCGATGGACAATTCATAATCAGAGCCGAGAAAAAGGAAGAATTTCCTTATCATTCTGAAACCGATTTAGAGATATTGCAAAGAGCCTGGTTGAACGAACATTTTTCACCAGAGCTTTTACCGTATGAGACAGCATTCGAGAGGTTAGGTCACACCGTGGAAGAGCAAGTATGATATGACCTATGTGTAATATAAAAAAAAAAAAGAAAATACCTTTCCATTATTAATATTGACACATAAAACACATGTCTCAGGCTGCCAAAGCTGAATCCATGGCACTATCAAAAGATACTTGTCCCATTGGAATGATATTATTTAACGATAATGAGCGTATAAAGTATGTCATGAATCGATACTTAAGAACAAGATTGTTTAAGGTACGCATCAGAATCTTCCTATGATTCTGAAATAGAACATTCTGTTTTATTCATTCATTCATTCATTTATTTATTATTCATTTCTTAGATTGAGAAATATGCACCTTCGATCCTTGAAAACTTAGAATTGAAAACTAGATTGTCTCCATCCGAACTTGAATTTGCAAAGAGGTTAGATCTATTAAGGAAGTTATAAGTTTTATTGGAGTTTGATCAACTTTTAATACACTACAGGTATAATGATTTGATTAAACGATACGAAAATTCGTCATTCTTGCAAATGCTTCCACAAAATTCTTTGGAGGTGTTAAAATCAATAGATGATGGTTAGTAGTCGATTGACGGCTTCTTATATGACAGCATGATGATAATTATTAAAAAGAATGAAATTTGCATTCTCCAAGACCAAGAAACTCATTTAGTAATCGATCTTTTAACTTTACGGCACAGGTATCGAAACATCCTTTGTAGTTAACGAGCAGGTTAACCTTGAAAAGGTCATATTCTGTCGAGTCAAAGAAGACATTGGAACTTATTCATTTCCTTCCAGGTATTTCATTCTATATTAAATCCAAATGAGGCGATTGTACTAATCCTCTTCAAATGCAGTGCCGAAGAAGCTGAGAATCTGGAGAAGGATGATGCTTATTTGATCAAGTATAGCGATATAAAACCACTTTTGGATAAAGGTTTTGTTGAACTGATATAACTTTTAATTACTTTAATATCATTTGAGGTCTAATTCTTTTGGACAATAAAAAAATTATAGTCTTAGAATACTAATCAAAATTAATATAATAATTAATATATAATAAAATGAATGCGTTATTAAAGTCTCAAATTATATTTTGTCGAAATACTGTATATACTGTATAAAATTACTCGAAAGCATCTAGATTTTATTTATCTATTCACGTAAAAAATTTTCTGATTGGTCGGATATCCGATATATATGAGATCACAAATTTTACCTCGTGTAAAATGAATCAAATTAACGAAATCAGCTTTAACGGGAGTGAATCAAATTTGAAACTGGTGAATGCGCCCGAAATTCAGGAAGATAGCAAAAACTTCCAGAGTCAGTTAGACAAAGCGGACGAATCTAAGGATTCACGAACCAATGTTTCGGATGAAATTCCAGAATTCCTTAAACTCTTGAAGGAATTGAAGAAGAAAGTTAAAGAAATAAAAGATGAAATTAGTGTCACTGCAAGCAAGTAAATACCCCCGGTCGGCCTCGAGTTACGGTTTAAAAAGAGTCAACTAATCGAATCATCCTTTCCTTGCCTGTTAGAGCTAATAATCACGAGTTAAAAACGAATCATGGCATATCGTTACTTGACGTCAAATATCATACACTCCTTCAATACATAACGAATTTGACATTTTTAATTTACATGAAACTTCAAGGAAGATCAATAGTCGACCATCCTGCTATTTTCAATTTAATAGAATTAAGAATTGTTTTGGAAAAGATTAAACCCATCGAACAAAAATTAAAATATCAAATCGACAAATTGCTAAGGAGCGCTATCATGGAAAATGATAATGAGGTCGATTTGGCGGGTGGTGGTGGTGAGTCAAATGTGCACAGTATAACAGCAGCCGATCCTCTGTCCTTTAAGCCAAATCCGCAGAACCTTGTATCAGAATCTAATGAAAAAGGCAAAAAAGGTATTTACAAAAGGAGTTTTAGAATTAAGAATTCGATGGAGGTAATGATTTTTTATTGGCTTCCCAGGTGATGACGAAACCGGGATATACAAGGCACCTAGGTTTGCGCCTGTGCATTTCGATGATAATAAAGGTATTTTTCTATCTCTTGAGGCGAACAATCATTTCATGCTTGGGTTTTGGTTTTCATCTTGCTTTCTTTATTTAGGGAGTCGTTCCGCGTTGGAAAAGGAACAATCACGTATTTTAGCAAGAGCCTCCAAGTCTCGTATAATAAAAGATCTTATCGTGGAGTACGATGATAGGCCGGAAGAAACAGACGCAACTGGTGGTGTACGCGGAGGAATAATTGGTGACGAAAGATTAGAGAAAGAGCTTGCGGAGCGGGACCGTTACGAGGAGGAGAATTTTGTCAGATTATCAATGTCAAAGAAAGAACTAAAGAAAATTAAGAGTCGGACAAAGTTCGAAGACGAATTTGAGGTATACGCATATTACCTTTGATTCACGCATATTCTTTCTTGTGTGATTGGTAATTAATTTATTGTGAAATTACGAATTCGTAGAACCTGAACGATTTTAGCAGTTTGGCAGCCTTACAGAATGACATCGAAGCTTCTGAGAAGAATCGGACCAATGTTCTCGCAAGAAGGAATGCCCGAAAAGAAGGTTACCATCGTCAACGAGGTTCGGATGACGAGGACGTTGAGGTATGAATGTGTGATGGTTTAAATGAAGATTTTCTTCATTCACTAATAAAATATTTATCACCGAATCTTAATCAAGGATTTGCAAAGATCACGGAAAAAACATGGGTTATTTAACGGGGTAATAGATGATTTGTCGCAGGACAAAAAAAGGAAGAATAGGTTTAAAATGGCCAAGAGAAATATGAAAAGGCAAAAACGAAAATGATAGAATTAACAATTAGCTTGTAGATTACACGCGATGGGCGTACCATAAAGTATTTACAGTGCATTGTAAACACAAAGAGCTCCTTCATACATGAAACTTGACAATTTTATTTATTCTATATATTGCATGTAAAATTTGATGCATTCAAAATGCACGAATCCATTTTTTTTTTTCGCGATTCAAAATCTAAATAATCTTAGTTTATTTCTAACACTACATATCTAATATTTACATGAAATGTGGTTCCTCTTTTTGGTCGTCATTCATAAAATTTCCTATTGTAACAAAATTTCTCGGTTAAAGTGGAACTCGATGTGCACAAATATGCTGGAAAAATTATCAAGATATCATCCGAGGGTATAACAATAGCGAGATTAAGACTTATTATCAGGGATTTGCCAAAAAAGTCTACCAAACAAATAGAGCTTTTTCCCTTAGACATCTCACCCCCAATTCTTCCCACTCGTTAGAATTTATCCACAATTCGTTTAGGATTTCCAATTTACTCATCACAGATCCCCCCTTCCAAGCCAACAATCTCGGATCTAGGTCACGAGGGGAACCGAGCACTTCAAATTTATCCGCGACCTGTATGGGCCGTTGAGATAATCTATAATATTTGCAGGTGAAACTCATTAGAAAGTTATAGTTTGATAAAGTGCAAAGACGTAAATAAGCAAGTATATACCGATCCTCCAACATCTTGTGAATTCCCGGAATAAGCCCACCACCACCAACCACAAGTATACTCGCATAAAACTTTTTTGCTCTCTCTTCGGTGGCCGCTGAATTGACACTCTGAATTATGGCGTCGTCAAGCGGAAGGGACGATAACGGGTCTACGAGGAAAGCATTGTGAATACGTGCCAATGACGATGAAGCAGCAGATGGAGGGGAAGATCTATTATTTGACGCCGCCGTATTGTCAAGTCTGAGAGGTGTCGTCGGACCAGGACTATCACGTTGTTGAGGAGAGGGCGATGGAAAGGATGGTTTGGCTTGTGACACTTGAGTAGTAACGGACAACTTTGGTTTTTGTACCACAGGTCCTGTTGGTGGCTATCGAAAGATTTGCTTAAGTAAGGTTTCGTTGGTTGCAACCCACTACTACAAAAACAATCATCCGAAGACATACCCCAGTAGATGTCATCATCCCCTCGGTTATGTCATCTACCACATGTGACGCGAATCTTTGAGGGAATTCCATCAATTTCTTGTGAAAATTAATTAGATGGGGATAAAAGAGGCACTGGTGCACATAAAATGGAAGGTGATGTCAGTTTAACGAGATATAACAAATAATATTCTAATAATAATAATAATAATAATAATCTTTACCATGGGTGCTATTATGGAATCATCGTACGTTCTAATTTGATACTTCAGTGTTGGTTGATTGGGTGCCCTCACATAAAACTCATTTAATTGTATTGTCAGATTTGCCTGGAATTAAAGAGAACGGTTATAATGTAATGTAACATCTTCCAAGATCATTTCAAAAAATTATGTACCACCAATTGATAATAATACCTCATCTAGCGTACAAAATTTTTCCTTCATTTCTTCCGCAAGCATCCAGTCGTATACACGATTTAAGTCCATTTCGGCATATGGAAATTTATTCTTTCGTAAAAGTCTTATGAAAAAAGTTGTTATATCGTCACCTCCGTAATGAAGACATACCCTGTAGATGTGTAATTTTCAGATAATTATCTTTTTAAAATCACATCAAATATCGAATATTCACCTCGAATCTGGAATACACATCCCGTCTTCCACACAAGTGACGGTGGTCGTTTGAGCTCCTATGTCCACAATACATGCAATGGAAATACCAGCACCAAAGCTAACACAAATCGATTCTTGCGCTATAAAAACACGTTGAAATTCCATGTATCGAAGCAACATTGTTATCATTTCTAGAACGTAGAGACGATTGTATATATCGGGTATAATAAGTATAACGGAATATGCCTTGTTATGTGAAAGACAAAAAAAAAAACTTTTTTTCAGAATATTATTAAAATATAATAAATAAATATTTATTATAGAAGTTACGATATACCTTAAAATTTTTTTGGTGATATTCCAAGTTTTTCTCGGATAGTCTCGGTCCAAATGGTCTCTAAATCTCCGACAACTGCTTTTATGGAATTGTAATCCCTGCTATTAAATTCACCGTGTTGTATTGGATAGAATAATTTAAAAGTATTTTCTGGATCAGAAAGTCGAAGTGCCTGTGCATTTTTTTTTTTTCACATAAGAGGTGATTGAGAAGTATTGATCTGAAAGAGTAATGATAATAACGATTGAAACTTACCTTTTCTCCAACATAGTACTCGGCATCTTCATCGATCACCGTCCAGTCAACCTTGTAAGGGTCATTATGATCCGCAATCGTTTCTGGATGAGATGCCTTGTTAAAGGAGAAAACCTGTGTTTGCGCATTGGCTACCGGTCGACGTTTTGAATTTTTCATTCTGTCCTTTAACTCCTTCTTTATTTCATTCACCACGTTTTTAAATTGTTCCTGGCGATTGAATAGTGAAAATCGGACAATCATGTGAATTGGTGTACAAAGAAAAATTAGTTCTCGAGATAAAAAATATCATTTCTAAAACCTCATCTTCTTCTTCTATTTCTTCGGCTGCACCAGAGGATCCCGCAGAACCCGACCAATTCCCTGGAGATTCCGACTTAGGATCAACATCCTCATTCATCGACTCATCATTTTCCTTCGCGTGCGATTCTTTCGCATCCTCATCGTCTCTTTCATTCTCCTCTTTATTGATATCGATACTCATTTTGTCCTTTTCGTCTTGACTCTCGACTTTTATTTTTCGTGCAATCACATGCGGTACTACATAGGGAAAAGCCTCGTAAGCGTGTCCAATTCTGAGATATCTTGATCCAGGATGGATGACTATAACCTTTGAACCTTCTTGCTCTGCCTAGTGTGTGCAAACAAACGTGAACGAATAATCTATGATATATTACGTGAACAAAAAAAAAGTCAGCTTCATCAATGGTAAAAATGTTACTCGTACCTCAACTTCCTCTTCGGTCGTCGCTTCGTCGTCGTCTTCCTCCTCTTCCATTTCCTCCTCACTCTCCTTGTCCTTCTCTTTCTCTTTCTCTTTAGTTATTTCCTTTTTAGATACCTCCCTCTTAAAGTATGAAACATCATGTCTCAGGAATCTTGAGGTTACATATTTTGTTACTATCGGTGCTTGCGCGGAAAAGTTTGTAAACTTAAGTTGCGGCGTGTAAAGCCTGTCGGTTTTAATGTGTTCATGAGATCGATGTCGTTGTGAACGTGGCGGTTTGGATGGGGTGGACGGAGGTAAGTGCGTTTGTGGTGGTTGGCTTTGCGGTGGAGGATTAGGTTCTGGAGCCTGTTCAGAATTCGGTTGTTGTTGAGAGTCCGAATTGTCATTGTTCGCTTGCGATTTATCCATTATTCGCGATGACAAATGTTAAATTCTACGGATCATGATTTTTTTTCGTGTTAATACAGATTCGCGAAAGTCGTACGATTTATACCAAACATCATTGGTTACAATAGCACGTTAGAATCTCGTACAACTCTTCCATGTTAAACCTTGTTCATATCAAACCTTCCCCACAAAAATAATCTAAATATGTCGATACGGGACGCAAAGTTATTCCATGCTCCGGCGATATAGCAAAAAATAGCGAGATAGCGTTTTAAAGATTACGTTCGCCATCCTTAATTCATACGCAGTTGCTGATCCTGCGTCGTATCGTAATGATCACAATGTTTTGTAATGCAACACCCAGTTGAAGATCATTATAAAACTTGACCATATACCGGCAAGTTTCTGACTTAAACATATAATTAACGCAGCGCTAAGTCGACATGTTCCCTATGAAAACGCGTCTTCACACATGTTCCGGCTACGTAAAAATTTAAAAAGAAAAGAAAGCATGTGCAATTAGCGTAGCGTCTCGGATTCCGCGTCGGTGGATAAAGATTTGACGCGTCAGGACATGTAATTATGAGATCACTTTTATTTCCGAATTCATTCCTACAAATTATTTTCGTCAATTATTATGCACAAGTGTGTTTTCTCCATTTCGAAGGTGTAGAGCGATGTATTGTGATAGCAAATAGCGTCGCACCCGCCTTTTTCCTTAGGATCGATCCATATAGACCTGAGAAGAATTAAGCGTTTTGAGATGTCTAATTAAAGCCTTTCGTGTCTCATCTAAATTTTAATCATATGGCAATTTTATTAATTTAAGTTCGATCATACACATATGAAAGCGAATTCACAATTATTTAATATACTTTTGAAAATTTTATCCTAATGATTTATTCTGCTCGACAGGATTAAATTGACTTCCTTGACCAATGAAACATTACAAAGTCAATCTAGCATGTGAATAGTCGAATTATTATGTCCCCAACCCTTACATGAATTTTATGATTGATTACAAGTCCGATATTATAAAGTATTATAAAATTTAAAGTTCAAATGTAACTATTTCTTGCCGCTAGACTTAGGCAAATCGTGTAAATGTAATAAAATTTGCGGTTGCATTTTGCGAACAAGGGATTATCGCCTTAATTTTGTTATATTATTCGGAGATTTCCTCTGGTACTAGTTGATTTATTTGAATTAAGACATTTGTTAAAGGTTTATTCATGTATATGAAATAATAATAATAATAATATAGCTACCTTAGACGGGGAAAGTACGGCACTTGTCGGCGTTGACAAATGAGTCTTTTTTGTTAACGTGACTATATGATGATACAAAGAAAAATTAGCACTTCCATTTAATTGAAATATACTGCGTGACATACGTACCGTCATGTGGCAGCGTCACAACAATCGATCGATCCTGTCCGAAACGGAAATTATCGGCCACTACCACGTCATCATATCTTTTGATTTGATAGTTGTAGATATTGCCCTGCTTGACGCTCCTAAAGTTCCAAGTAACTACGAACGGTCCAGTACTGTGATGAAGATGATTTCAATTAACGTTCATTATAGGCAGGAATGGCAATCAAGAACGTGTCTTACGAAATGCTCACCTGGTGACTATGGTCTTTTCCATTGCTGACGCCCCCGTATTAAATCTCGCAGGCGTAAAATTAACCTAAGTGAATTTCAAATACAACAGTTTATAAAATTTTATGGTTCAATCATGAACTTTGTCTTCCTTGATGCACTTACTGGCTCTTCCATTATTGATAAGTGTTCTGGTCGCAATTGCAACCTTCTTGGGATAGGCTAAATTCATCAAAATTATAGGCAAAAATGAGGGTTTGTGGTCATCATTGCAAAAAAAAGGTGCACATCATTCTTAGCACACACCTTTTGATCTTTGGGGAAACTCTTCTCGAATCCTAGCGGTTTATCCGGGTCAGATTTGATCTCAGTATCCAAAAGCAGCAGGTAACGAGCGGTGGTAGCGATAATCCATCTACCATCAGCGGTCACGTCGATACCCTTTATACCACTGCCGAGAGCGGGTAAATTGGTCTTTGCGTTTTTTCCCAAAGTGTCAAACAGTTTGACATCACCCTTCTCACTTCCCACAGCGATGTGACCTTTGGCATCAGTGGTACCACAGACGAAATTGTTCTTTGTCACGTATTGCTTAAGTTGAGAATCGACTAATTTCTGACCCGAAAGCCGAGGGTCAATTCGAAACAAAGAATTGTGTGACATTCCCACAAGAGTTTTTTCGGCAGTCGTTTGTGCAAATTTACTTCCAGGAAATATATTCGTCACGGGTATATAATCATGAACCTTCCATTCTTCTACCACCTTGCCATACTCCAAATCCATTTTAAATAGATTGTTCTCGTCCTGAGCATCTAGCAATACGATAGAAGAGTCTTCTTCATGTAACATGCCCTAAATAAAAAGACTACTTCAGCAAGAGCTTTGATATGAACTAACGACAACACAAAAACCAACCTTCTCGGGATTGAATTTCTTTCCTCCAGGCTTCTTTATTTCATTGATGTTTGTCGCGAATTCTAAACGATCGTCATCCGTGTGTTTAAAGACACCGATATTGTTACCCTTCAGAACAAACGATCTATCGTGTTTGTATCCGACAAGAAGTTGCTTATTGATGTCGTTAGTATTATTGTAGTCTTCATTACGACCCTTGTTATTATCGTCGTTTTCTTCTTCATCCGAAGATTCGATCTCTACAGAAATTGATTATCTCATTAATACACGTATCCATATTACAGTAGAAAATCCAAAATCGCACCTTCTTCAGTTTCTTCTTGGTCGGATGTATCGGCATCAGGCATTTCAACATCTTCCTGATAAGCGTTTATCAGATATTCTTGTTCATCTTCCTAAATACCAAAAAAGAAGTTATGTGATATGTTTAAAAATCAACATCCGATCAAGAAAAAGTAATTTCGATTCACCTTTGCTTTTGCCTCATTGAGCGTTTCATACATGCTAGTAGTATATTTTCTCTTGAAATTATACTCATCGGCTGTATTCTGAAAGCGAATCAAGAAAGAAAAAACTTGACCCGAGTCTGTGAATCAAGTGACAACAGATTTAATTGGATTTCAAATCTTCAGCCTAAAATCTTTTAAGCGACATTGTTACCAGCAAAGTAACACCATATAAGACATCGATGGGTCTATTGTAAAGAGCATTAATTGGAGATGATAATAGGGCATGTCTGAAAAGAGAGGTTCAAATTCGTACCGAATTAAATACGGGGTTCATCTTTGGTTCAATTCGTTGACCAACGATTCTTGTGTGATCCTCGTCGTCAATTACCAACCAATCTGTAATTTTATTAGATGAACGGAAAAAAGATAATTCAATAAGACATTATTTGAGAACGCGAAATTCAATAACTCGAAGTCATACATTCGAATCTTTTTCCCTTCAAGATTTTTGCCGTGACATCTGATGACTTTAATACAAATTCTGCAGTGGCTGGATCAAAAACGTGTAATTCTGCTTCCACTGATACAATATTCTCAAGCGAATCTGGAGAACTGGGAAAATCAGAAGTCACGGTAAGTTTTTTGGGGGTGGAAGGACCAACATCCGTATGTTGAGATGGAGTTGTGGTGGCCGACACAGGTGACGATTGCGAAGCAGTTGATCTTAAGCGTCTGGGTGTTGTGGGAGGGGTTTTATCGGATGGAGTGCTTTCAACCTTTCGCGGTCTAAAATGAAGTGTTACAGGTATCGGATTTACCTTCTTTTTTTTAGGAAATCCTTGAAGAAATAAGAAAGTCTTACACGTATGCGAATTTCTGGATTTCCTCTTCGGTGGCCTCCTCATGTGATTTATGGAATTTTCTCTCGTACATACAGCTATACACCGTGTATTCAAAGGTGTTGGCAGTGTGTGCTGTAGTATTTATATCGCACATGAATTCAAGCCATTCATCGGCTTCCTTTTAAAAAAATAAATAAATAAGTTAGGGTCAGCTAATTTTTCGATTTTCATACTAAGAACTACGCGGCTAAAGTCTGATCGCTCACTCCTGTTAAATCTTTCCACGTGAATGTAGTAAGCCCTTCAAATTGACCTTTTCTAAATTCGAGCGACTCGTCGATGAGAAAAATTTTCTCGTAATCGTCTTAAGAAATCAATTGACGTGTCAACGATGGTTCAATAACTCGTACTAATCAATAGATGAAGATTCATTGGTTATTTACTTTCTATCTTTTCAATATCTTCTTCCTCCTCTTCCTCTTCGTCACTAATGTTCAATTCTTCTTCACCTTCATCGAAGACCCTGGCAATAACAAGTTGATACTGCCACTCAGTTCCCGTACGTCTCACAATAGCTGTTGCCTTGTGAAAGCTAAATAAAAGCGCAAAGTGATATCAGAAGAATTCCTTTGTTCTTAAATGAGTGCATTTGTTTCGTAGGGTCTCGGAAAAGTACGAAAGCTATATATCAATAAAAAGAGTTCGCCAGACACGTACAGACACTCTCTGTTTCCTCTTGGACTGTTGGGTCTGATGAGGTAAAGCTCGCCGTCTGTTATTTGAATGAGCTCGGGTGTGCTAGCATCACCTATTTCCGCGTACGATCGAATTTAAACGTGTTATTATAGTAAAAGCGATTTAGAATTCAAAGAAAAACGGTCGCTCGCTTTTCTCTCATACCCCAAATCAGTTTCCCCAAAGATTTGATAACAAACATGTTGGGACGAGTTGACATTCAAGAAACCATCAAACATTTACGTAATATAATTGATGTCGATCATGATATCATCCGCTGTGACATTCTTCGACAAAAGAGGAAACTGATGACGGATCCGTGACTTAACGTGATAAATAAAGCAAAATACGCCTTATTATTTTTTTTTAATTAATGAATACAGATGCTTTGTTTGCTTGTTTTACGAATGTTATATATGCAGAAAATACAAGGTAGAATGCGCCAGCATTCTTTTTTATCCAATTATGAGAAGCTATTTGAAACTAATTTAAAGTAAAAAAATTATATGGTTGATCAACTCAACGAATGAAAGGGATTAGGGTAGGCGTTTTCTTCCTGTATTCTTCGTATTCCTCGCCAAAGAATTCTACTAACAAAGGTTCTTCTTCTCTAATACGATTACTGAAGAATCTATAGAGAACTACGGGAAACACAACCAGGCAAATTGGATTGAAAAGTAAGACCTGCATTCCAATCACCCACCAAAAGAAACCAAAGTACGATGGATGTCTCATATATCTACGTGAATTCAAAGAAAATAAGTATGTATTGCGATTTATTAATTAACAAAAATGAGATCAATTGAACGGTGAAGGTACTCACGCGTAAACACCGGTTTTCACAAGTACATGCTCTTCACGTTTGTGAACCGCAATTTGGTGGGAAAAATTATGTTTTGCGTGCCACATGGCCAAACTTCGAGCGATCTGACCTATTATCAATATCACAAGTCCTATTATGATTTTGCAATTGCGGAACCATAAGGTTAATACTCGTCGACATATTGAAAAACTGTAATGAGATTAACATCGATCCTTTACCTAAGTAGCGGGCAAAATTAGTGTTCTTCATGGAAGGAAAGAGATACAATTCTATCAGGAATTCACACATGCTAACCGCGTGGGCGGTTTTGTATGGTTGACCGTTGTTCAATAAGAACGCTACAAATGAAACGAAGGTTAGATCCTAGAAGAAATTCGACAATTGAAAATTTCATCGAAAAAAGAAACCCGTACAATCCAGTGACAACTTGTCAGCATTGAATAAGGCGGTTAATATGTATTCAAATTCGTGAAATATTGCTACTGCTGCCAAGAAGATTCCCAGCTGAGGTATCAGGTCCGAATAAAATGCCACGGTAACAGCGATTCCAAACAAGGTGCCGAGTGCGAAACTGTAAAACGATATGTTTTGTGCCGTGTGAAAACCATCCAACAATGGGATCTTTTCTTTTCTGTTATTTATCTTTGAGTGTTCGGTTGACATTTTTCTTTAATCGTAAATGTTATTAGCGGTCTGTCAAAGTTTAGCTGTCCTTTTTATATGTAATTAAATTTCGCATAAACAATGCTTAACCTGTGTACTGATTATCGTAACAAACAATACAATCCGAAACAAGTTTATTATTACAAACAACGCTATATAGTCCGACCACTCCCGAAAGTAGGCCACCGGTAACAATTGCCCATAGAAGCAATCGATGTTACAAACAAAGTAATCAAAACCCGAATCTAGTTTCCACTTTGAGGCCTAATCCGGAAGTAATTCTGGTGATCAGAAAGCTTATTTTTTTTGCTGTCATATTGTCATTATTAATTTACATAATATTAGCGAGAATTAATATTTTTTAAAAGAATAAACTATTAATGATAATAAGAATTCTTTTTTTTATTTTTAGCATTGGCTTCGAGTGAAATTTCCGGATCACGAGAAATCCCGCATAAATGTATAAGAACGAAATTGCGCGAAATTTGTAAATACGAATATTCTCAATATAATATAGCTTAAAATTATTTGTTTTTTTTAAAAGTAAATTAGAAAGACATGGATTTCTTTAGAAGCATAAGATCATTCATCATTCTTTTAATTTGCACCTTCTGAAGATTCAATATCAAAACCATTATTCTATTTTTAATTTGAGATTTTTATCACCAATTAAAGTACTTTCTTTTTATTATATAATGCATTTTGAAATTAATTAATTTATTTGATAAAGTAAATAATATATTTGATGTAATATTAATAACATTATAATCAATAAGATGTTTTTATTATTAGAATAAAATCATTCTATGGTTTTTTCTAAATTTATCACATTTGAATATAATTTTGAATAAATTGTTATACAGTATTTTCAATTATGATATATATTAATAACTGATAATAATTCTTGTTAAAATTTTAATTAAATTTTATATATTTATAAGTTTTTATTTTTTAATCCAATCAAATGATAATGTAATATTATTATTCAAATTTTAAGTTTTTCAAATATTTTGGATTTTAAATTTTCAAATTTAATCAAATAAAAATTATCAAATAGATGATTTTAAAATAGAATAATGAAATTAAGGTATACTCATGAAAAATGTTATATATAACATTGAAGCAATAAACCCTTTTAATAAGATAAAATTAGTAGTACATTATGTATTGTTTTTTCTCTCTGCAAATTTTTTTTTGTTATAGAAAATCAGTGACAATTAGCTAGACACTTTTTAGCCCAGACTTTTTGCGAAAATTTTCGTAAAACTCAATCATCTCTGGAGTAATCCGACGCGTAAAAGATGACAAAGCCTTGAGAAAATGATCTCGCCTTACCTATAAAAAAAAAACAAAAGGCTTAATTTATTAATCAATTCATCATAGAGAATAGTAATATTTGTTACCTCTTTGGCATCAAGATCTTCATCCATCGCGCACATAGCCGCCTCTTGGCACACCGCCACTACTTCAGCACCAGAATACCCATCAGTCTAAAAAGAGAAGAATATAAAATTAAAAGGATCGGAACACAATTATCGGGATTAAGGTAATCCTAATTAGTACCATGGAGGCAAATTCTTCGGCATCAACGTCCAATCCACATGACATTTTTTTCAATTGAATGCTGAAAATTTCTCTCCTGGACATCAAATCTGGGGGACCCACATATAATATCCTGTCAATGCGGCCGGGCCTCATCAAAGCGTTGTCCTAAAAAGGGAAATGGTTGGTGTGCAAGTGAGGTAGAAAAAATAAATCGAATATTATACTTGCTATTATATCCGGACGGTTGGTTGCCGCCACGACAGTCACGTTCACCAATGATTCGATTCCATCTAATTCGTTTAACAGTTGTGATAAAACACGTTCCACTACTGAAGTTCCACCTTCACCACCAATTCCACGTTTGATGGTGAGGGCATCTATTTCATCCTAACAAATAATCATTCGTTTGTAAGATTTCTATTCACGCAATGAAATCTACTTCTCAATAAAGTACTCACAAAAAATATAATCGATGGAGAGGCAGCGCGTGCTTTGCGGAATACTTCACGAACCGCTTTCTCCGATTCACCAACCCATTTACTGAAAAGCTGATTAAATCAGTGCAGAAATAGTCTCATTTTTCTTTACCATATAATTATTTCATCCCTTTACCTCTGGTCCTTTAACAGCAATAAAATTCAATCCCGCCTCAGTGGAGAGAGCTTTGGCCATTAGAGTTTTACTGCAACCTGGAGGTCCATATAATAAGATTCCTTTTGGCGGTCGTATACCAAACTTGGAAAACTTCTCGGGATGCTTCAATGGCCATTCAATCGACTCCTTTAGTTTTTGTTTTATCTCTTGCTGGCCACCTATGTCCGACCAATAAACTTTAGGAACCTCGAGGAGAATCTAGAATTATTACAAACATTTTGATCCAAAGGTTATTATCTATTCATTGTGTCAAATATAAAGGTTTAAAAATCCTCAATAACTTGCCTCCCTCATGGCGCTAGGTCTAATTTCTCCCATCGCATCGTTCATGTCATTTATGGTAATTCTGATGTCTAATCCCGTGAATGATTTTATAATCATGAAAAGATATCAGTCAACATCCTCAGCAAGCAAGTAAATGATCACCCACTTTGTTCACGTTTTTCTTCGATAGCTCTCTTTATTGCTTTTAATCCAGCCTCCCGGCAAACTGCTGCTAAATCGGCACCGACATAACCATGTGATTTAGCTGCTAATCCATTAATTTCTTCGGACGAAAGGTTGTGTGGTATATTTCTTAATAGTGTTGACAATATCGAGAATCTCGAAGTGGAACTGGGAATTCCTGAAATCGCGAAAATTGGTAGAAAAAGTTAACATCTTATACGATGCATGAAATCCTAGTTGGTGCTAACTTGCCGATTTCTATCTCGCGGTCAAACCTCCCAGGCCTTCTCAATGCTTCGTCTAATGCATTTTGTCGATTTGTTGCCCCTATGATCACTACACGATCTTCTATATCACTATTTTTATTAGCGATGCCATCCATCAATGTCAAAAGAGTTGCGACGACGCGTTTCCCTAATTCATTACCGACCTTTACAGAAAACAATTGGCAATTGATCAAGCAGAAATGCTCACTAATATATATATATATTATTAAATTCTCCTACTTCATCACGCTTTGGACATAACGCATCTATTTCGTCAATAAAAATAATTGATGGGGCATTCTCCGAAGCTTCATGGAATAAGTCCCTTAGCTGAACGCACGTAAACGAAGAGTGTCAAACTTTTGCTTTGATTGAACGTAATTATTGCGAAAATTCCTACCTTTGCTTCCGTTTCTCCATAAAATTTGCTCGAAATCTCTGGTCCGTTCACACAGATCACATAGGCACCTGTTTCTGAAGCGACCGCGCGTGCTATCAATGTTTTACCCGTCCCCGGAGGTCCATAAAGAAGTATACCCCTCGGTGGTCTTAGTCCTGTAACGGCAAATCAACGAAGTCCATGAATTTCGGTCTACGCAAAAATATTTCCTTGTTCTTACCAAATTGAGTAAATGATTTGGGATTCTTTAAAGCGCTTTCCACCATTTCACAAACAATCCGAATTTGTTCAGATAACCCTCCGATATTATCATAACCGACTTTAGAGACACTTTTGCTTTGTACGTCATCTTTCGCTAATTTCTTTATTTTTTTTTTTGGAAAGACACCGTGTTAAATTCGGATTCAGATTAAAAAGAGAAGAATGAGCTGACAATTATTTACTTTTGGTAAGATGACGACAGTCGTATCTCGAATAACTGGAAAAAGATTTTCTTCGGATTTTGCAAGATCAATGTCGAAATCTTTCATTGGAGTGATATTAACAACACGAAAACTCCCGACTTGTCCATGATACTGAAATTCAACGAAATTTCCCTTCACTAAATATTTGATGTCAACTACAAACAAGACTTGCGACCGTTAATTCGTGGGTGTATTATCACGCAAGAGATTAATATACCCTTACTTAGGATTTCTTTCATGTATATATTCAACATCTGATCGATCGGAAACTTTATTTCGAGTGGCTCCAACACAATTTTTGATGCGCCAACAATGGCAACATCGATTCGAGAAACCAAGGCGACGTCCCCAATTTGAAGACCGGCATTTTTCCGTTGGACATTATTCAATTGTACATCTTTTTTTTAATTTAATTAATTCAAGTTACTGTCACTCCTGTAAATAATCATCCTTCTAAAGCTTTAACAAGAAAAGACGTACGGTTTTTTTGAATTGTGAATGATGGCCAAGCGATTCCAGCCGCGATCATCTTACAAATTTACCATCAAACGAATTAAAAATTTAAATTCCAATCATTTATCGTAATTCAGTCTGGGACACATTCACCTCATACCTCTGTGATGGTCTCATTGACTGTCTCATCTTCGTCGATGTTTCTCTTAACGATAATGTGATCTCCAGCACAAAGTTTGGACTCCCTCATATTCTCCACATGCAAATGAATTCTTCGTGCGCTCCGCCCATTATTATTTGACGAATTTTCTAGAACGATGAGTTCAATCGGTTGTCGAGATGTCATCGCCTTAAGACCTAATTTCAATCGAACCTGAAACCTTATCGTCCAATCATTTATCACCTAAAAACTTGATTTCATTGATAAAACAGTCCAATACCATTTTTATAAAAAAGTGATGATGCAAAGGTTATTCTCAATTTCGCATCCCAGATTTTCCCCTTTTCTGACCTCGTTCCTTTATCAGCATCAATTCAAACGTACAATAAAAAATAATGATGACCAACACAAATATGACGGCTATTGGACCTCGATACTGCATCAGGTGTGAATAATACTGAGAGCATTCATGGGGATGATTTTGTTAATGTTAAATTTCGCACAGCCATCACCTTCACCCGCCGGAAAATCATCGCATGATGAACTGAGTGTCACATCAGCGGCAATTAACGCTGCTTCATTAGAACCGGATTCTGAGAAAGAGAAACCCGTTTACACAATTGATGGAGAATTAATACCGCCTAAACCGGTTTTTCCTGATAATTGTTGCATGAGGTTTTTTATCCCCAAACTGTAATGTGTATATTTTTCTTTAACTTTTTTACAATTTATTAATGAATGCTAACAAATAGGTAAGACCTTGATAAAATCTTTGCTCCTACACATTGCAAGAGCCATCTTGGCTTACTCCATTTATAACTCGATGGATTTATCTAGCGGATGTTCGCATTGGTATGTTATTAGGCTATACGACATTTTTTCATTCTTCACGACAATTTAATACTCGTAACTTTGAACCGATAGCGTTTTGGATATCTACCAAGAGGAAATGCAGGAATGGAATGAAAGGGTGAGATCCATAAGAGAACGGTTGTTAAAAGAGAACAAACCATTACCAGCAATTCTTGAAAAAGCTGACAAATCAGGTGGTGAAGAGATGGATCCTGGGATGAAAGCTTTTATGGAATTGGAAAAAAAGTTGGAGAAATCTTGATCGAAAGAATTAATCAAAGGCTCCATCCATGCACGATCGCTTTTCAATCTTTCGCGTGCCGACTAAATTAATTTATAAAAAGGTTGTATCCATTTTTTATAATGTTTCAAGAATTTGTTAAAATTTAATCTATTTATCTTCTATGAAATTAATTTCAAAAAACCGTTAAACCTATAAAAAAATCATTTTTAAAATAAAAGGTCAATAAAACATAATAATATAATAAATATCTATGTTTAAATTAAAACTAATTACACTTAAATTTTGATATTTGTTTTCAATTTATAATTAAATTGCAATTCAAGATCTATTTGATTTTCTTATAAAAAATAATTCTAAAAAATCTCTTATATTGAAATTTTCAAAACAAGTGGTTTTTAATAAATTGTGATTTTATGATTTTTTTTAAAAACTAATTTGATTGCAGAAAATAATTCAAATGTAAACTCAAGAATTTTTTTTTTGAAAAATTTTTTGAAACTAAAATTTTAAAAATATATATAAACAATTCAATACTTGATAAAAACCAAAGATTGTAAAAAATAGACCTATGGATCAATAACACAGTAAATAGTGCTTCCAGATCTTTAAACACATGTTCCTAGTTCAATATTTACAGGGGACAAATCAATACATAAAAAATTCTTCATAAATAAGTTAGTTGGTCTTTTATATATGTCATATTCAATCAGTTAAAAAGAAAAAGAAAAATCCAATTTAATAAAGCTACATGAAAATGGAACCTTTGATTTTTTCAATAATCAACAAGTTGAAGCAAAGAAGATTGAATAAGAAAAAACTTCTGATCTAATTTTAATATAGGTTTACAAATTAAAATCCAAAACTAACAATAATAAACTTTATAATACAATTTAAAAAAATATTAATTTTAAGCCAATTTATTTCAATATAGAGCTTGTAAATCTATTTTAATTACAATATTTTATATAAACTTAAAATATGAATCAAAAAATAATATTATTAATTACAAATGATAAAAATCAAAACAAATTTATTAATTTAAATGTATCTAATAAGAATCTATAAGATTAAATTAAAATTCAAACAAAAAAACTAATTTTACAAGTGGTAAAAATAATAATATTGTATTATACTAGTGACACATTTCAAGAATTACTAATAACAGATAATTGAAATGATTAAGATTAATATTTTATGCAATTTTTCTTCAATAAACAATTAAAAATATGATTAAATCAATAAAAAAAATATGTTTAAAATTAAGACTTTTAATGATATTACTTCAATATCAATTTGATACTTAAATTTATTATAAATTTATATAAGTAAGTAATAATTTATATATTAAATTTACTATAAATCAATACTATTTTAATATTATTTGATATCAATTCAATATTTTTCAAAGTTTTATTTAAAACTAGTAGTAGTACTTTCTTCTTTCCTATATAAGTTTTATATAATATAAACTCATCTATTTAATATTTAAAAGCCAATTAATTAGAACAATCAAATTGATCTAAGAAAAATCAATACAATTGAAAATAATAATTATTAGATAATTTTAATTTATATTTAGAATAAAAATAATTTAACTTATAAAAATATTTAATATAATAGAATATATAATTATTAATAAAGTTTTGTAAAAAAAAAAATTATAAAAAAACATATATTAATATTTTTTTTTCTTTGATATTATTGAAAATATACTTTTTTTTGATAAAAATTTTTCAATTGTCTTATTTATTTAAGTTTTAATAAATAGATTAAAAAATTAATATTATATATATTAAATAAAAAATTGATTATTATTTTTATCAAAATCAATATACAGTCCCCTTCAATAAATGAAGAATCACTTAAGAATTATTATAATTAAACAGAAATAGTTGTTATATATTAAACTTTTATTTTATTAATAAAAATAACTTTTATGTATTAAGTAAACTTATTCCTTATAATAATTTATATATATAGTTAAATTTTATTAAATTTGAACAAATTTTTATTATTATACTTAATGATTTTTTTCTGAACAAAAATTTATTAATTTTTATTAAAATTTTGATACATATACAATTTTTATAATTACTGTTTTAATAAGCAATTTGATATTAATAAATTTTGTTTGGCATATGTTAAAGTATTTAAATATTAAGTTTCATAAATTTTTATCTAGTATTTAAATTTTTATTTAATAAAATGTAAAAAAAATTTATTTTAACAAAAATTTTAAAATTAAATATTAAATATTTATTCCTATTTAATAAAAACTTTACAATATGGATAATTATTTTCGAAGGTGGACCAAAAATTTTCTGGTGTGATCCTAAAATTTATACTATATATGTATTGTTTAAAAGTTGGATCCGAAAAAATCATATCTAGCATTTTTGTCACCTTCAAAAATAATTACTCATATATGTATTTTATATTGAAGAATAACTTTACTTGATACATAAAAGTGAATTTTAATACATTTCAAACTACCACAAGTTTATTTCTCCAAATAACTCTGAGTAGGCATACATAGCTGCTCGACATCATTTAATTAGTATACTAGTTTTAAAATATCTTTTCTAGTAGAAGTTAAATGATTACTGTAGGCAGGCTAGCATTAAACTTACTGCTAATCACACATAAGAGATGTTATTTCTTTCCAAATATATACCTTATAATATACGAATAAATAAAGAAATGGTGTTTACAATTAAATAGCAATTAAAAAATTTCAAATTTTTTATTAAGTTATTACCAAATCACTATAAGATTATAATGATTTTGTTGTGACTATCTATCAATTTATTTGCAGAACTATCTTATAATGATAATTGAAAAATAGTATAATTATAATTAAATAACAATATAATTACAAATTTATTCAGATTAGATATTGATATAATTACAAGTTTATTTACAAGTTTATTATAATCAAATAGTAATGTAATTATAATTAGATAGTAATATAACTACTGTTATATATTATATACTATATCTATTAAATTACATTAAAAAAATAATTATTTTTTAAATAATACATATTTAATAAATCATAACTATCTATGCACTTTTCGAATATATAATTGTAAACAAATTTAATCTTATTTTTGATTAACCATTATTAATAAATAAATTCATCATCAACTTCTATTTTTTGCTAATTGAATTTTATAAATTAAATATTCTAATATTTTATTTATTTGTTTGGTTTTTTCAAATTAATTAATTGCAATAAATGTATTTATAATGGAAAATTGCTTGAATTTTAACATAATTCTTGTTTTCTTTGCTAACATTAATAGATACAATATTTTCAAAATGTAAAAAATATTTTTTGAAAATATCATAAACATTTTTTTTCAAATAAGTTATATTCTTATAAAAACTTATTGCTTTATTAATAATAGCTAAATAATTTTCAAAATTATAAAAAAACAATAATTCTAATTTAAATTTCAAATTATTTCCTTAACATAATATTATTTTTTTAAATTTTTATTACATAATTTTTTTTTCAAACTAATATTAAAAACTATTTCATTTATGAATAAACTAAAATTAATAAATTTAATTAACAATATTGATTAAATATTTATTTAAATTATAATGATCAATTTTTGATATTATTGTCTTTATTACAATTAAAGTATTTATTAGCAATAAACCAATTATTAAATAGTCTTTCAATACTTTATAAAATATTAATAAAATTTTGACTATTATTTAAAAGCTTTCTATTAATTTTACTATTAATTAAATATTAAATAGCCAATAATATTTTGTATTTTTTTATTAGTTATTTGCTTCTTTGTAAAATAATTGTTAATAAAACTTCTTAAAATTGTTTATTAGTAATATATTAATATATTCTTAATTCTATAATATCCAAATTATTGTTTATTAATTACTCCTTAAAAATTTGATAAGCTCTGTATCTTTTATTAATTCTATGCTGTTTAGTGCTTGCAAGATTATTTTCTTGTAAAAGATTGGCTATAATCACTTCTAATTTTGCAATAATTTAACAATTTTATCCTTAAATATTTATAATTTAACAATACTCTAGAGTTTTTACCTTTATAATAAAAGATTAAATAAACTTATCAAAGTTTCTGCCAAAAGGTACAAATTTCAAAAGAAAATGATTTTTTTCAATAACTTTTTCATAAATATAGACATATAATAAAATTAAATATAAATTTTTTTAAAAGAATAATATATATTTTAATATATTCTAAAATTATTATAATATAAATTAATAAATAGTTTAAAAACTGAAAGTTTATAATTTGATAATAAAGTAATGAAGACATATTTAGCAAAATATTGATTTTTTAGTAAAATATTTTGAATTTTTCAATGTTTTTTAAACTTATAAAGAGTTTTACTTACAAAATAATTAGAAAATTCATGATTTCTATTATTTGAAACAAATATTAATGTGACTAATAATTTGTTATAAAAAAATTAAATAAATTTCAAGAGATTAATTAATTAATTATACTTTATTCAAAGAAGCTTAAAGTTTTCAATTATTATTACAAAATATTTGAGAAGTTCATTATATTTAATAATTTTTTGAACCTTTAACTTTAAGCTATTATTTGACAAAACAATTACAACTATTTGCAAAAAGACTAAAGGAACAACTTTTGTTAAGACTTCAAAAGCAATTGTTTTACTAATATTTTTGAGTAATTTTGCTTTTTATCTTATAGATAAAAATTTTTTTTAATAATTATCTTAAGTGTAATAAATAATTCTCTAGCCAAATATTTTGTGTAAATAGATGAACCACATATAAATAATTAGATTAGAAACGACCTACAATTGACCAAAACATTATAAAAAGATTACAATTTCCTCCAGCTATGAAAAAAAAAAACAATTATCATAATTATAAAATTCTGAATTCTTGTATTTTCTTTAATTTTCTTTTAATAAAATTATATTTATTCCATATTTTTCTTTTATATTTTTCTATTGTTTTTCTATTGAAATTCAATATTTATATA